ATATATATATATATATATATATATATATATATATATATATATTTGGGATCATGTGAAACCAACCTGTTTTTGTGAGTCCCATGAGACCACTTTTTTACACTTGAAACTTCACAATAAAATGCTGTAACCTTCATAGTGTTTTTGCTGTGAAGGTTCGGAATTTTTTTTACCTTCACAGTATTTTTGCTGTGAAGTTTAAGTGTAAAAAAGTGGTCTCACGGGTCTCATGAATACAGACTGGTCTCACGTGAACCCAACCCTATGCATATATATATATATATATATATATATATATTTATAAGAACTGGTTTTACGTGAGACCAGCCTGTTTTCGTGAGACCATTTTTTTATACTTGAAACTTTACAGCAAAACTGTGAAGGTTTGAGTTTTTTTTTACCTTTACAAAATACAACATTTTTCTGTGAAGTTTCAAGTGTAAAAAAATAGTCTCACGAAAACAAGTTGGTATCACGTGAACCCAACCCTAATCATATTTATTTATAATTTGTCTTTATCAGATTTTGTATTAATGTTTTAACTTTTAAGTGCATGAGATAGTTTAAATCTATTCAAGTAACAAGATTGGTTATATTTTATTGATGATGAGTTGAACACTTTAAGAGTAAAAGATGTATTATATGAAAACTAGAAAGTTACTCGTACAATGCAGCGAGATAAATCTTCATTTTAATGTTTAATTTTTATTATTTGTCTTTATCAATGTAATATAATTTTACGTGGTTTTGAGAAAAACGATAATGTTTTTATTTTTTAATGAAATATAAATTTGAAGATAACATAAAAATTTTTAAAAAAATAGATATTAATATTAAATTAACTATTTAATAGTTTTCGTTTTTTGGTGTAACTTTTTTAATTCAATTTTTTATTATAATTTAATTTAGTTATAATAACAAAGTAATTTATTTTTGGTTTAATGATATAATTTTTGTTAAAGATAATAATTAAACATTCGGTTAGAAATTCGACAATTATCCTAATTATATTTTAGATTTAAAAAAAATGATATATTTATCCTCTATTTGATTATGTTTATTCGTATTTAGTTACACGAATTCAAACATTGAGCTTTAATAAATTGTACTTAATGCATAATTTACTTGTAATCTTGAATTTTAAGTAATATGCATCAATATACAGTACTTTATGCATAAAAAATGGTTTTTAAGAGTTTTTGTCAAATGTTTTATAATATAGTATAGATAATTGCATCAAATACATGAAACAACAATCTATTTTCATATAAAAAAATATTATAATATTTTTTTTATTACAACAATGTATTTTTAAATTATTTTTTATTCAAATATTGAATGAGTAACTTGTATTTTAGACTAGTTTCTCCCACTTACGTGTCATATTATTTATGTGTATTGATGAGAGTACATTAAGGTGCCGTTTACCAAATGCTTATATGGGTAAACGCTTACTAAGTCACGTTCCCTTACCGGATGAATATGACAAGGACCAAAAATCTTACTTGGTAAGAGCGAAGGCAAAAACCGAAAATTTTATCCGGTAAGTGATGACGATAACTCTTACTACCGTTAACGTTTACCGGGTAAATTGTTACATACGATGTCGTTTTAGTAGACTAAAATCTTATCCCATAAACAAGTGATAGAGTTGAATTTTACCGTTAAACGCTTATCGGGTAAGTATTAGGTAAATGGTAACTCAACAATTTATAATTTTTTTTTATCGAATATACATCACTATCTATATAGATAGAATATGATTTATTATATTAGTAAATTCCAAAGATTTAATATTTATTTTTATACAGAATACATATATTGATGTTTGGGATAAGAGCAAATATCTGATATTATTGTCGTTACTTGATTCATATTTTATTTTCAATAATGTTTTCCTAAATCAATGATTTGTGTTTTATAATATTAAAAAACAAATATATTAATATCAAGAGGTTTAATTATTTGAGAACTCCAAAATTTATAACATGAGTAAGAATTTCCATCTTAAGATTTTGTTCACATGATTTTTTTTCCGTCTAAATATAGTACTTAACATATTGATTAACATATATTAGTTTTAAAATATGTTTGTTTCATATGTATTCAGTTTATAATGTGGAACTTTTATACGTGTATTTTTTGTTTCATAAATACATAAAAGATGTTCACATTATGAACCGAGTACATGTAAAAACAAATATATATTAATCAATATTCTAAATTTTATTTTTAGATAGAAAAAAATCATATAAAATAATACATGATGCACCAATTCTTAATATTATCGTAATTTAAAAAAATGAATGCTAAAACTTCAACATAAAGGCATGTTAATGTAATAAATACTTTTGAACAAAACAAGTAATAATTACAATTACTATTAGAGTAAATTACAGATTTGGTCCCTGTCGTTTCTACAATTAACACATTGGAATAAACAAATTGTGATAATTGCAATCGGACCCATAATTTTCTTAAACAGTGAAACCATTTGACTAAAAAAACAATTATAGGTACATTTTTCACTAAATGATACTGTTGATTAGTTCATTACTTTTAATATGTGAGGTTCTTCAAAACTTTTATTGCAATTTTTTTCTTCCAGAAACATAATACATCTGAAATTAAAAGTTAAAAACTAAGAAAATGACATTAACTGGATTCGAACTCAGGTCTGGGATGAAAGAAAAACATTGCATACTAACTCTAATAAGGGAAGCTTGTATCTTTATTGTAGTTTTAAATTATATATGGTGGTACACAACAAATTGATACGGTGACATTTTTCAACTCTATAATTTTTTACACTACAACGGAGGAACGAAATGTTGGCACGTGCGACCACAAAAACCTCTTGGCCCTTCCCAAATAATAATATAACTTATTGTTTATTTCGGAAAGAATTTT